AAGGAAGAGGGAGCGGCGAGGGAGCCAGGCAGAAACGGCTCCAGTCTAGCATCTGGATTTTATTAGCAACCGTTGGGAAAATCTGAAAAGGAAGTTTTTTCTCTGCAAGCACGTCGGCAGCAGTGATATGCTGCACATAACCACTTCACTGCCGACGAGAGGAGCCAGGCCCTCCCAAAGGAGAACAGATGGTCGCTAGAACTTCAATACAATTACATCAATAACAGCTTTCACAGATATAAGCACTGTGTGACAGGATCCCTGCAGCTCAGAGACACAGAAGAACAACTCCTCTCCACCCTTAGCACGTCTAGCCCTGGATATATTGCCTTTAATCCATCCCCACTCCCTGCCTGTCATCAAGTTATCTTTGTTTTTCTTGCCAGGTTAAAGAAAATATTGAAACTTTTGACCTAAATCTGTTGATTTGTCAATAGTTTGCTCATGGTAACCTGATCAAAGACATGAGGGCTTTGTCAGTGCTTATTAAGGAGAACCCCCCACCAGCAGTTTGTTTTTTTGTTCAACATGTTTTCTCAGCCGGCACTGCATATGTACTATCACAGGGATTCTCAAGTAACATAGGGAGAAAATGTGTGTTTGTGTCCGCAGCATGAGCATATGCATTTGGTGAACTTATGAGCATGTACATACATCTGTGTATCTATTTGTGTACGTGAATGTGTGTGTGAGTGTGTGTGTGTGTGTGTGTGTGTGTGTGTGTGTGTGTGTGTGTGTGTGTGTGTGTGTGTGTGTGTGTGTGTGTGTGTGTGTGTGTGTGTGTGCTTGTGTGTGAATGTACTGTACCGGCCTGTCTCCCACCCTGTCATTAGTGAGGGCTTTAAAGCCTCTGAACTCTAAATCAGCTCAAGATGAAGTGGAGTCTGGGATCCGTCTGCAGGAGCAGGCTGTGTGCTGACACGCACATATACATACACACACACACACACATCACACGTACACACACACACACATACATACACACACACACGCACACACACACACACACACACACACACACACACACACACACACACACACACACACACACACACACACACACACACACACACACACACACACACACACACACACATGTTACCTGTGGTAGAGTTCAGACTTCACACTGTAAGGAAGGCATGTATCAGATTATAGAAGTAGACGTAAAATAATCTGTATTTGTAGATTGCTCTAGGTTAGAGGAAGATGGTGTACTGTATGCACTGACAGTATGTGTGTTACTGATGTCAGCAGTCTTTTTCTTTTTAATGATATTTTGGCTAGTAGTGTGAAAGTGCAGGATGCTCTAGGTGCAGTATCCCCAAGTCTTAGGTCCAGGGCTACAATCCCCATGTTTTGATACGAAGGCCTGGTGGGAGGCTGGGGGCCAGGGGCTCAGGCTCTGTTTGTGTGGACTCCTCAGCGGCCTGATAGGGAACAGATGTGGGAAGGCAGGCGGCCGGGCAGCCAGCCAGAGCAGCTGGGAGAAATTAAAAACAACAGCATTCCTAGAGACATGGGGAATTACAGTGGGAGGGAGGGATGTAAGGAGCGAGAGACAGAGGGAGAGTTTTAGGGCTATGTGGTCACTGACGAGATTCTCTGTGGAGTACAAGAGGTTGAATATACGGGGGATTTAAGGGGACTGTTGTGCAGTGGTTAGCTAAAGCTAATAAGTTGCAGCTGTATTTCCAGAGGAAGCACAGGCACACATGCACACAGATAGGCATACAGTCAACAATAGGACAGATGCCAATGTGAAAGGAGACCAAATTGTATCTTTAATGGCTTGTCATGACATGATGTTATTTATCTGTGTATGTATGTTTGTTTTGATGGGTTTAATGAAGGCAAATGTCATAAATCTATAAGGAGACCCCAAAAGAAAGTTCGACAAACCACTTAATGACATAAAATGTGTGTGTTTGCAGTTGTACAGTTCATGATCTGTATGATTGTGTGTGTCTCTCAGGGAATTGTTTTTCATCTTGTTTCATCATGGCACAAGGAGAGAGTTGAAGACAGAGAACATTTTTAGAACTCAGAGTGCAGACTGTTTCTTTGGTGAGCAATCTTTTAGCCCTGATTACGTCAAATATGCAGACATACAGCTGTTCAGAGAGTAAGATACAGACAGCAGAAGAGAGGAAGGTTAAAATGACTGCATTGTATTGTTTTATTTTCAGGCTAATACTCAATAGTGAATGTTTGGGAAGTATCTGTATCCCGAGCAGATCTATTCTCAGCTGTATTGATCACAAAGTGGCTCCTCTGAGAGCCAGATAATAACCTGCGGGGTGAAACAGAGCAACTTGCAGACAGGAGCATTCGTACGCTCCATACCTGGACCTTTAACCACAGGTCTGTTTTACCTGATATACCAATCCCTCTATATTCCTCCTTCTCTCGGTGTGAGTGTTTTGTCCTTCAGCACAAAGCACAATGGGAGCACAGATGGCACCGGACGGGGTTGCAGACCTAGCATACATCCTGATGTATTAAAGTGAAATTCAGAGCATAGTGTGTATGTGTGTGCCCTGTCCCTGTAGCTGGTCAGATTAAACAGCTGTCCATAATCCCACGGTGGGAGCAGACAGACAGTACGGCCCCTTATCTTCCTCTCCTATCCTCTTAAAGAAGAGACAAAAATAGCTGTGTTGGAAACACAACATTTCACATCACCCTCTTGATCTTTTGATCACACGTGGGCCCAGTTTTGTTCACTTGAGTGTAACCTCAGACTTGTCTATATGGGAAATAAACTACTCTCTATAACACAGTCCTGCATTGCACTCTGCATACAGTGGCACAGTATATTTGATCAAAGAGGAGGTTTACTGAAACATATGGCTGCCTCTCTACAGGAAGCAGCCCACCAATGTGGCAGCACAGAGAGCTTGTTTGTGTGTTTAGGAGATCTTTAAAAGAAAATGGCTGCATCTATTTATACCAGCGCTTCCCATCTGCCTCTATCTACCACCTTGTGTGTTTATGTTTAGTGCGTCTGGCATGGGCAAAACAGCGGAGTGCCCCTCGTGTTCTTGAGGATCACTGTGTCAATGGCCCTCGTGCAGCACACTCCAGAGTGGCACTCTTTAAATACAGACACCAGCTGTTGAACGCATCTAACATGAGCTCTCAGAAATAGGCTAACACCAAGGACTGATGCCAACTGAGGCAGTAGTCCTGTGGAGGAAAACACTGGGTTTATAGTTAGCTCACGAGGAGTGAAATAAATTTAAAAACTTTATTTCGAAGTTATTAATATTGTTAGTTTGTGACTACAATAGATTTAAAGTTGTTCTGATGTTTGAAAGGCCATGAGCGTTTGGAATTTCGTTTTTTATTATTAGTATAACAAGTTGTTATCTGCCTAATAATAACCCCTTTTCTGCACATTTTTTATTTCCATATTTCAGCACAAATAATACAAAAGAGGTCAATTGTTCTCTTGTCCTGCTTCTCATATTAGAGGATTTGCTCTTTATTTGATTCTAAAGTTTATATTTCTTTTCTTTTTGGACTTAAACAAAACCAGATATTTGATGGCATTTTTGACGTTTCATATACTACAGTTAATTATTTAATAAGTAAATAATCTGCAGATTAATCGATAATACAAATAACCAGTTGCAGCTCTACATTTGTCCCTGTGTTAATTGCAGAAGCCTATCTCCTGTGCACATTACAATATAAAATGTGAAATAAGCCTTTTGTTTGGGATCCTTAGAGATCAGACTAAGGTTATTCTTCTGTAATACATTGAGAGACAGGTAAAGAACAGAAAAAGAAAAACAGAGAGAAGAGATTTATCGGGGATCAATGAATGCCACATAAAGTCTATAATGTTGTTTACATCTGCTTTGCTTGTGCATAAAAGATCTTAGATTATAAATGCATTTGTTTACTACACTTAATGGTGTTGTGTTGTAGTGCAGAAACACACATATTAATGTCTAAGATATAAACCGAGCTGCATATTGATTTTTTTATTGCAATGCACACATTCATTGCGTTCCCTTCCAGTTACACACATGTACATCTACTCTAAAGCGATCTCCTCACAGGCTGCAAATGTCATCAAACCTCCCAGCTCAAGTTTACATTGCAGGAAGATCTGGTTCCAGCAGCTGCACCGACACTCGGACATAGACATAAAGACAGTCAACATATACATCACAAAATAACAGACATGCTGCTTATGTATTCAGACTTGTGTATACAGTTGTGTGCATGACAAACACACACTGTATATCGGGACTGGATGAGGCCCTCTGCCACAAACACACAATGTAAGGCCACAGTCCTCACACACTTCACTTGTGGCCCCAGAACATCCGTGTCATGTTTTCTTCTCATGTCCCAACATCCTTTCCCTTCACGCAACAGAGCCCGGGTTGCCTTGTTTGGTGCTGGCAGGGTATCTGGCAGAGGACAGTGAAGCTTCTGGTAGCAGGACGGCACTCTGCTGAAAGCCAGGCCACAGTGACGGACAGCAGCAGATCCAGCTGCACTTGTCACTGACTGTCAAGCCGGCTGTCTGAACTAGGGGACGAGAGGGGACAGGCGGGGAAGAGTGTGTGCATGTGAATATATGTGTGTGTGTGTCTGGGGGTTGGAGGTTACAGTGGAGGGGCACTGATTGGGATGTCAGAGCTACATGGAGTGTATGTGTGTAAGAGAGAGAGAGGGAAAAGAGAGGGGGGGTTCAGTGAGCAGCAGCTGAGCGAGTGAGCAGGTGTTACTGTATGTCTCCCAGGCCCATGAATCTCCAACAAGAGAGACACAATGGAAGTTTGGATTCATTTCCACTCCCTGCATTGATTTGTTTTGGCTGTTTTCATGGGGCTTCTGGTTTAAGGAAACAATCGATGGGTCCCAGGTGAAAATGTCAGTGGTCCTTAACCAGCTGTCTCCACTTTGTAAATAGGGTTTTTTTTCATACTGGAGCACCATGTTGATGATTCTCTTATTTTTTTTCTCCTTCTTTCAAATGGCAGGTAGCAGAGTGCAGAAGGTTGGAACAATGCCAGATTCACCTGCGGATGTGAAAACCCAACCCAGGTCCACCCCACCCACCATGCCTCCTCCACCCCCGGCTGTTAGCCAGGCATCCAATCGTAATGCTTCATTCACCCCTGCTACCAGTAAATCAAGTAAGGACCCTTTCATTACTATTTGATGTGAGGTGCTAACTCTTCACTGATTTTGAAACCTTCCTTCTCAACATAGATGACATGCATATCTTAGTGTTGTGTCCAGATGAAAACTGTGCTCTATTGAGGTAACCAGGGGGTTAATATGGATATCAGATACATCAGTGATCACTACTGTATGTCCAGGATTTGATTCCACATTGTCATTCCCAGTTTCACTCTCCCTTTTTTCACATCAATTATCAACCAAACTCTTTTTAAATGGTCCTTAATTTGCCTTGAAAGTGAACTTGTAAGAATGCTTTTTTACTGACGATGTTTCACTGTGTTTTTAAGCTCTGCTAAACGCTAAAGTAAAAGGATTCACTCATCAGTCTGTAATAAATTACACAATTTAATACACTTTTGAAACTGCAAGGAATCTACAATGCACCACACGGCCATTTGTCTCTCTTACATCAACTATCATGGACACTTTATATGCTTGTGTAAAGGGAGAGAAATTACAAATATGTGTTTCTTCCCTGTTGAACAAGTGTTGGAGTCATTTGTGTGTCAGGTGTGTGTCTCTACAAGCATCTATCGTGTGTGTCTTCTGGTGTGTAGAATGCCCTTGCTAGTGGGACAAGTGTCTCTGAGCGCATGTGCGAGTGCGGCTGTGGCATTGTGTGGTCATGTGTGTCCGTGTTGTTTACCAGCTGGTTGGGCGGCGATGGCTAGGGTGGCGTTGCGGTTTATAGACTACTTTCTTCCCTATATAGCAATGACAGGCCATGTTGTTTCACCTGTTGTGGCGGGCAGCCAGCAGTGTAGCTCTCTCCCTCTTCTAAAACCAGAACACAAGCGCTGCCTGTTGGGATCACATGGGTAAGTCCATATGTGTTCAGGCCCTCGACCCAAAGATGAAAGCAACAAGAAGTATATATAATAACTAGAATAATTCAGCAAGTAAACTGTATGTAGTCTTGTTTTCATGTATGTTTACAACATATAGTGGTGCAGTCCACAATAGCTCACTGCTAAGTCCTGTAAATGCATTTTTCTTTTTTAAATGATGTCGCTTCAGCGCTTATAAAATTATAGTTTTTATGTAGTTTAAGAGCTTTCATATGCTACCATAATGAAATGCAATCATTCATTTATGAGTACATTTATATATAGTTTGATTCAAATTAGAAAAGTCAGTTTCATTTTGTCAAAATTTGTTCACAAAAATGTCAAAAAGAAAAATATGGCATACTGACGAGACCAAAGATGGTTAAAAAGGGTTTTCAGTTTTCACTAAATAACTCTATATTTTCTCACATAAATGAAATATATACTCAGCATGCATTTGCACGTGAGTGTGTGTGTGTGTATTTGAGCTATTTGTGAGTTTGTTTGTGCCGGCAATACAAGGACTATGTGAGTGATTATATATCTGAGTGCCGAGTCTATTCTAAACCTTAAAGCTGCAAATCTACTTTCAGCTGGTGGACATGTGTAGGGCCAGATTTAGCTACACACCTGCTATTGGAATAAAAGTAACACAGGCCACGGCACTATTTTTGGCACTTCTTTAACAAGTTCCTCTTATAGTTCTGTCCTAGTGAGTGAGTGAGTGAGTGAGTGAGTGAGTGAGTGAGTGAGGGGGAGAGGGTGAGGAGCAGAGTGGAATACACTGATACAGGGGGAGATGGAGGGGGATGGGGGTCAGATGGTACCACTTGTGAGACAGCTGAGGTTACAGCAAACACACAAACAAACACACTCACACAATCCAACAATCCAATCCAGCTCAATCCAACTGGCAGAACCACTGAAGTCATGATGTGCATTTCATGCCACAGGCTTCAAAGTATTTTGTGTGCTTTACTAATATTTCATCTTAACCACACACTCCTCTATCAGCAGGATATGAGTGCATCTGCCCTCATCACGCCCCCAGATCTGTCAGATGCCCTCAGGACTCTCAAAAACTACTGACCCAATTCATGTATTCTCTTCCTTCTGTCTTTGATCTGCAGTGCTGAATGGAAGCAGCCACTCTCCTACATCGCTGAACGGTGCTCCGTCCACTCCTAACGGCTTCAGTAATGGGCCGGCCATGTCTTCGACGGCTTCACTGTCCAACCAGCAGCTCCCGCCAGCTTGTGGCGCCCGGCAGCTCTGCAAACTGAAGCGCTTCCTAACCACGCTGCAGCAGTTTGGCAACGACATATCGCCTGAGATCGGGGAGAGAGTGCGCAGCCTCGTGCTGGGACTGGTGGTAAGTTGTGATCAGATTCATGTGGTATTACTGTGATTAATCTTTCCAAAATCACACATTTATATCAATTTATTCATTCATATATTGCATACAGTTTGCCCCCAACTAAAACATTTTAATGTTAGGCACAAAGAATAATAACCATGGATTTCCATGACTAACTTAAAAAAAAATCCTTTTTGGGACTCCAGCTACTCTGTAGGATAGTGTTGTATTAGTTTGTCTCTTTGTGACTCTGCCAACCCTCCGTGTTGTCTTTGGGCAGAACTCCACCCTCACCATCGAAGAGTTTCACTCCAAACTTCATGAGGCCACCAACTTCCCTCTGAGGCCGTTCGTCATTCCCTTCCTGAAGGTAAATACTGATTGATGTTTATGCGGCCAGTGTTCAGGACTGTGTGTGTGTTTGTGTGTGTGCAGACACTGTATGTATGTCTTTCCTCTGTGCTACTTCATATTTCTCCTTCCAAACAGAAATAGAGAGGCTAAAAAGCAAACCTAGTATTGATTGGAAACCTTCATTGTGTTTACTGTAGAAAATATTGAGGTGTGCTTGTGTTTGTCTGTTTGCACAATTGTTGTGTGTGAGTGTGTCAGACCCCGTGGCATGTGATGAGCCTCCACATCTGGGATATTACAGCAATGGCTGCGTTCTATCAATCAGACAGTTCTGAGAGGTCTATTTGACAGCACTGACACACACACACACACACACACACACACACACACACACACACACACACACACACACACACACACACACACACACACACACACACACACACACACACACACACACACACACACACACCCTGGAGGGAGAGAGAGAGAGACACATGGCAGAGGAAGGTGTCAGGAGACCTCTCTTATCTCATCCTGTCTCTTCATCTACCACTTTCTTTTTTCTCTCGCTCTAATCTGGCATTATTTCACTCTCACCCCATCTATCTATTATTCCAGCATGACTTTCTAGCTCACCTCTTGTCCACTTAACACGCTGCTCTACTGTTACATCAGCTCAATAAATCTATATATTTCCTTCTACAATGTATTTCACTTTTAATCCAGAGTTTTCTGTCTTCTCTCTCAAAGGCAAACCTGCCCCTGCTGCAGAGAGAGTTGCTGCACTGTGCCAGGTTGGCCAAGCAGACTCCAGCTCAGTACCTGGCCCAACACGAGCAGCTTCTCCTGGACGCCAACGCCAGCTCGCCCCTCGACTCCTCCGAGATCATGTTGGAGTTGAATGAGCACGGCAAGAGAAGGACCCCTGACAGGTAGCGTATCTCCATTAATTACAAAAAAACACATACAAACACACTTCAGAGGCGGATGCGCACACACTTTGGCAGACTCTTGCCCACGCTCTGTTTTATACGACTTATTTAGAGGTATTTTAGAATGCCAAGTGACAAGAGGAGGCTATAAATCTTCGGTGCGGGAGGCGGAAGTCTGGATATCCCCGATGCCAGGTTGGCTCTGCCAGCTGTCTGGGAGGGAGGGGTGAAATAAATGCAGTGTAGGAAAACAAAGACAGTGTGTGAGAAGAGCAAAGAGAGACAGACAGGGAAGGGAAGAGGGAGTTAAGTACTGTAACTGTCCTCAGCACAATCCAAAGACAGAGCGTAAAACCAACAACGAGCTGCAATGGTCCCACATTTCTCAAGAAAAATGTGCTTTCTTCCATTTTCTTCCTCCTTCACTTCCTGGCACTGTCCTTCTTCTTTCCTGATCACCTTTTCACCTATCTGTCTTTCTCTATCACTGTCTTTATCCCCCTCTCTCGATCCCTCACTTCCTCTCTCGTGCTGCCTGGCCTGTGGGCTCCCAGCAGCTGCCCATATGCCAGGGATGTGTCCAGATGGTGATGTGCTGACCGTAACACTGAGCACATCCTGAGCGGGGTTTGGGGAGGTGGGCAGTGGTGGTTTTGGATGGGACTAGGGCTTGGAGCTGAACGTGCAATTCCACTGTAATCCACACACCTCCGCCTACTGACCTGTGGTTTATACACAGCTGGGGGGAGGGCGATTTAAGCTGGGGCAGGGCCTACATCGCGCCAGCTGTTCCTCTGAGTTGTCAGATACTACAGCCAGGGATGTGTACGATTATAGCCATCATACACAAATATACAAACACACACACACACACACACACACACACACACACACACACACACACACACACACACACACACACACACACACACACACACACACACACACACACACACACACACCATCTCCATGGGGTAGTGCTGCATTTATTTGCTTTGATCCCCAGGATGATAAATAGTGATTTGCATCCAGTGCCTGACTATTGCCATCCAGCTAAACAGATTAATATCAACACTCCCATTTAAACTGTCCAGATGGCTGGAAAACACAACCTCTCACACACACTGACTTAAAGTACACAGACAATAAACATCTGCCAAACACATAGCATTCAGCCCATATTGCCCCTAAAGCCCGAGAGCAGAGTGGGAGGGAGAGGGAGAAATACTTGCAATCTAAGAGTTGGCTGAGGGATATTCAGATTAAGAGCTTGAGTTGCAGGGTGTACAGTTGGACTTGGCTTTGTTTGCTACATATGGTGTACAGCTGTGCAAACGCTTTTGTGGAGGCCTGCCTTACTCTAACTGAACAAAAAGGCTCTCAGCCAGAATACATGTGTGTGAGTATGTGTGTTTGCATACACCATGTGAGAGTTGTTGTTGAAAGTTTGTGTTCCTGAGGTAATCTTAAAAAAACACTTTGAGAACACAAACACCAGAAATGTATGATATCAGTCTACTTGTTTAGCATGTTTTTACAGCAGGTCATTTTTCGTCTGTTGATCTGATCTCAAGGGCATTCTGGTCTTTAGCCTGGCAAAGCCATCCCATCCCACTGTTTTCACATTACTCATTGTGGTCTGGCAATGCCAGAGATGGACTAGCTGGAGAAACATGACGCACTAAACTTATTTCTCTTCCTTTTGACAAATGGTGTTACAAAAACCTCAATGAAAAAAAGTTGAGAAGAGAAAATAGCCTCAATAATGGCTTTTGTTTTTAGATGCTAGTCCAGTAGGCTTCAAAAACCATTTCTGATTGGTTCAGTGTTTATTTAAAGCAGTTAATCGATTCTTTGGTAGATTTTTGTGGAATAATGGTAAATGTGGTAGTGGAAACAGAGATTAGAGGTAGTCTGTCTCAAGTGGAAAATAAAAACTAGATTGTACAAACAGAGATTCGTTTTCCTGTAAATAATATGTATTTTCGAACACAATCTTTTGCTTAGGGGTGTCCTTTTGATACTGTATTCTGCTAGCTGCGTGGTGCTGACATTATCTGCTGCCAGGCCAATTATTTTAAAAGGATATCGGAGTCTGGGCTACTACAAAATATCAATTATAGTCGCCTCACTGCATTAAATAGTATCATGGTAAGGCTTGCCATATACAACATCACATCTATGGTGGTTTTAACCCACTCCTATGTCTTCCGTTGCAGGACAAAAGAGGGCTCAGAGAGAGACGGCATGCACCCGGAGCACCATGCTAAGAGGCCCTGCACCATCAGCCCCAGTCAACGCTTCAGCCCCAGCACAGGTCTTCCTGCTCACCCGCCTCCCAACGGCCTCCCCAACCACCCTCCCAACGGCCTACCACATCCACCCAACCCCCAAATGGGACCCCAACACTATCGCTTAGAAGACATGGCCCTGGCGCACCAATACAGAGACGCTTACAGACATAATGAACACCGCGACACCCGAGACAGGCACAGGCCGACAGGTAGGACGGCTGCATTCACGCAAATCTATGGCTCTAAAGTCCTCAGTCATACGGTCAAGATTATCTGCTGGTGTATATCTAAGTGGGGTGTATGTAGAGAACAAAGGCCAGTTGTCAGCCCGGTGTGATAATCCTTGTGGCAGTGCGTCTATATAAAGACCACATCCATACATGCCTACATGCTACAACTGTGGCAACCATATGCCTTCCCTCTGCTTTCCCAAAAGGAAACACATGAATTATTTGCCAAATTGTCTCACAGACGAGGCTATGCAAATACACAATATGTTGTTTTGTTTGAAATAAAAAATGTCAATCACTAAATTGACAACTTAACAATAAGAAAAAACAAGAAAATTAATAGGTCAAATCTATTCTGAGAACCACCAGAAATAAATAACGTTTTGAGTTGGCTGCTTGGAGTCAGTGATACAATATACTAAAGTCTACTGTGTTGAAGTGCTGCATCTGAACCATGTTTTTGTCTTGTAGCAGTGCATGGAGCCCGCCAAGAGGAGGTGATTGACCACCGTCTTACTGATCGAGAGTGGGCAGAGGAATGGAAGCACCTAGATAATGTAAGTATCAGCATGATAGCTATGATTAAAGTCAACCCCTTATTGGTTTCATTCATGAAGGAGTGGAAAAAAAGAGCTAAGAGGCAAACAGGTGATCGAAGCTAATTTTAGTGGGACAGGAGCTGTTGACAGACAGAACAACCTCCGTCCCATCTGAGTGTGCAGTTGACAGACAGCTGACCATAAGAGGTCTGTGTCAGAGGGGTGAAATAACAACAGATATACACCTATAAGGCTTTCTGGCACCCAACTATAAGAAGACAAAATCATGTTCACTAGACACACACAACACACACACACACACACACAGAAAAACAGGGCCCCAGATGGAGCTCAGGACCCAGCAGAGCGCAGCTCCAGCTGGGGAGAGCAGCTGAGACAAGAGCTGCAGTCATGGAGAGAACCGGCCAGGCCTGGACCCCGGCCAAATTAGAAACACTTCACTGAAATAAATATAGCTAACTCAAAAGGGAGGGAGGGAGTGGTGAGACAGAGGGAAGGAGGCAGAGACAGAGAGGGAAAGATCAATGGGAATAATGATATGAATTGAATGTCAACCATGTAAAACACATTTAGCAAACCTGGCCGGGTCTGGAAACAGGGCACCGTGGAAAAAAAGTGACACTGTTTACAACATGGGGGAAGGAAAGAAAAGAGAGGGAATCTGTTGAGTTGGCAGGGAACGGAGCAGAATGGTGGAAGGAATGGGCTCGACTTTTTCATCAGCAGCCCAGCTGTTACACTATTGTTGTTGTAATGCTTTTAGACATTGAAATTCACCAACAAGCACACCGTCCATGAACAAAGACAAAAACACACAGAAACATTCACGTGCACGTCTGCTACGTGGTATGTCTTTAGGACGTATCAAAATATTGTGTGCAGATTTACTGCAAGGTTCCAAAAGCGACCTTTGCCTTTTAAATGTGCTTTCTTCGTGTGACCTTTGACATTTTTTCATGGATTTATACAATTTTGTTTAAGTAAAAAGTATTTACTACTGTGTAGATGATACATGTTTATCTTTTTGGGGGGACTTGTTCTTTGTGACGTGGGAATTTGCAATTTGAATTGAATGGGGCACTTCTTCCATTAATTTATCACAGAGTGACTTTTCAACTCATCAGCATCCTGTCCCATTGCAGCTCCTGAACTGCATCATGGACATGGTGGAGAAGACGAGGCGCTCTCTGACGGTTCTGCGGCGCTGCCAGGAGGCCGACCGGGAGGAGATGAATCACTGGATCCGGCGTTACAGCGACGTGGAGGAGATGAAAAAAGGTGGGAGCAACGGACAGCACTGCCTTCCTCCTCCTCCTCTTCCTCCACCTCCTCCTCCTCCTCACCACAACTCCTCCTCCAACACAGCTAGCAGCAGCGAGTCACTGCCCGTAGGAACTCCCTCGGCTGCTGAAAGGCAGACAGGCAGACAGACAGGTAGACAAACACACACAGGGCAAAGCAAAACACTTACAGCAAGATAGCGCTTGTTCAAAATGCTAAAATAAAAATACCTTTGTATCCATTTATAAAAGTTAGATTATGATATTTTTCTGAAAATGCACAACTCTAGATTATGCTTTGAAGCAATTCAAATCAAGTTGCAACATCTTAGATCTTTAAAAAATGTATTATAACCTAACACAGCTAGCATACTTAATAATGTTATACATTTGTATTCACTTTTCTTACTCCCGTATTTACTCCTGAATTCTATTTCTTTCACAAAAATGACTGAAAAGGTGAATGATGACTTATTTTCTGATGTGATCACACATTGTTTCAAAACAAATAATGGAAACTATAGGGTAGTCTTGTGGATGTGTGTTTGTGCAAATCAAGAGTCTTTCACTGTGTGCAACTGAAACTGAGACTGTGCCTGCTTGTGTGTTTCAGAGATCCACAGAGACTTCTTACACAGGCCTCCATCAGGATACCTGCCAGAAGAAATCTGGAGGAAAGCCGGTAAGAGTCGGGCGTCCCCGTTTCTATATTGTCTCCATTATTGACCCCAGACAGAATAACAACACACACACAAACACAGAGTCCCCACCATAAGTCTTTACGGCCCTCATCCTGGCCATCAGGACACACAGAGCAGAGGCCTTACAGCTGCAGGTCCATCAGGGCAGAGGATTGGAGGCCCTCTGTGTCATTAGGGCTAAATGCTCTCCATCTGTCACCACTATGAAGGGCAACTGCAGTTAAAGCTGCAGTGAGAATGCATTCACCTGGCAGGCCGCAGGAGCAGAGACCAGGTCGGAGCTTAACTGGTCTCTGTTGACCTGAGATACACACCCTTTTAAGTGTTTACACCTTATTTTGATTGTTTTGTAGCAATGCACACAGTACACACACTGACTACTGAATCCAATCCAGACATTTAGATTTACAGACAAAATAATCCTGACCATGGTTATTCTTTTTCACTCAGTTTGTAGCCCAGGTGCATTGCATGGGCCATCTTGTATGGTGAACATTAGATAAAGCCCATCCCAGGAGTGAACTGGTTCAGCCCTTGTTCCGCCCCAGTCCCAGCACTATTATACTTCAATGCCCAGCGGAGGGAAGATGCTGCTGCTGTCGGAAAAATGCTGTGCTGCATTTTCACCCGCAGAAAAAAAAGCTCTTATTAATTGCAGTTGTTTTTCATACAGGTACTACAAGCATCCCACTATCCCCGGCACTAAAACACCTTCAAAACAGGCAGGGTGAGTAACAAACCTACATCATCTCACGTGTCTGTCTGTGTGTGTGTGTGCGCGTGTGTGCGTGTGTGTGTGTGTGTATGTGTGTGTGTTAGTTTGTTGTGTGTGTCACCTCTATCTCAGCAGCCAGGTAGTCCGCAGCACCTCTTGCTTTTAATTAAAAACAGACACGCATTCTCTGGTCTGGTTCAGGTTGAGAGACTGCAGTGCTTTTAAAAAATAAGATCTGAAGTGTGAAAAGGAAGACAGAAAATAACACGTCTCAGGGACTTACAAAATCCCTGTGGAATTAAAATGTTAATATTGCTGTCCCCGTGTTTTCCATTAAGTGCTAATTGCCCCAGCATCTGCTATGCAGTCCCCTTGATAAGAATTAATTAAATTTGCAAACTAATCTTAGTGGTGCATGCATTAGGCCAGATAATTGAGAAGCTCAGGATAATGCAGATAGGGTTTTGTAAAGGAGAGAAGAAAGAGGAAGAGGAGGAGGAGGGGAAAAAAAGGAGTAGAAGTTAAATGAAGGATAAAGGTAGGGAAAGATGGAATGAAGGAAAGCATTGAGACATGTATCTGAGTGTAACTGTGTGTTGACATGATTGACAGAATATTCACATTTTAGTATAAGAATCAAGCTCAGACATGCACACACAGCCATGTGCATACAGTATACAGCAAAGAGCTGGATAAGCCTCCCCCACTCCTATCTTTTGTTACAGTAGTTTGAAACAAGTGGAGTGGAGTGGCAAGGAAAAGTGACAGTTATTTATGAGTTCCCTCTCAAACAAACACTGACTGCAGGAAATAGGGAGCAGTGGAGAGAACGATATCAGTCTCACCTCCTACTTGGGTTGGCCTAACACACCTGGATAGCCACTTGTATGTGTGTCAATCGTGTATAAGGATGTCCTACTGTACATGGCACATCTGGAGGAGGTGGAGCAAGGGAAAAAATCAAATGTAATCTTTTAAAATGTTTCTGTCTTTGATGGTACAGGAAAATGAAAACCACATTAGCATATTAATGAATACTACTTATTTGGAAACCTATTTATCAGGTGTTTGAAACCCATAAGAGAAATCATGTAATGTAAATGTGTTGTGCACCATGAGGCAAGTAATGAAAGATGCCATAAAGTAATCACTCCTGCCTCTTACTAAGAGAAGACTGAAATAAGTATCTATTTTAGACTGCCATCTGGAAAGGAGTCTACACACCTGCCTGTTGTAAAAACACAGCTTCCTCACTCATACTGTTTGTGCTTCTGCCAGAAGCTTTGTAGAAAGCCCTGCAGTGGGGATACACATGCCCATTGGTGGGGAAATTATTTACTTTTCTCTGTGAACATTGTCTAGCAAATTATAATAATAGTATGTCTATGATATGATGGCAGCCATGCAAACAGGGATTCCTCGGATGTTGTTTGAACAGCCAAGTTAGTGACAAAACTTTGGAGACATCTGCTGTTGTCAGCACTGGAAATGATTGTGGCCAGACGTGTTTGAATTAATTATTGAAGTTTGGCTGTTTCCCTTTTCTGGAAGAAAGTTTTAAATCTTGGATGATGTACATCTGTTCGCTGAGATACAACAAGATGGCAGCTTAAAGAGTCTCAATAAAGGATGACACAGCAGGCAGGATGGGACGATGACCGCATGCACTCACACCTCTCTCTCTCTTCCTCTCTCTCAGAGGAGGCCGTGAACGAGGTGAAGCGACAGGCGATGTCAGAGCTGCAGAAGGCGGTGTCAGACGCCGAGAGGAAAGCTCATGAGATGATTTCAGTAGAACGATCTAAAATGGAGAGGGCGCTGGCCGAGGCCAAGAGGCAAGCCTCTGAGGAGGCACTCACAGTCATCAATCAGCAGGAGGACTCCAGTGAAGTGAGTATCACAGACACCCCACATGTCACCTCATTCTCCAGTGTCTTGTTCTTAAATCTAATTTCACCTTCTTGATTTTAAAGGCTGTAAAACAAAAATGATCTCAAGATTTCATAAATATCTGTGAAGTAACCTAAAGGAAATTATTTTTCAAAAGTTTGAATGAGGCTGTCTTTAAGATATTAACAGGATAAGGGCACAACGTCTACCTGAACAAAAGCTGCTTTACTCACAAGGCCTTTACTTTATGCTAAACAGCCTCATCCTACATTAGGAGAGTGCAAAGATTAAACAACAAAATATCTAATAAAAACAATGGCCAAGCGTGAGAAAAAAAAGTGAAAGGTTCTTAAATATAACAGAAAAGCTGATCCCTGATGCAATATTCACAGGAAATAATCTGCTCAAAATGTATTGAACATAGTTTGCATTGTTGTGCAATACATATCATTTAAAAAATCTATACAATATGTAAGTTAACGTAGTTCAGGTTTGGTTAGTTTACTCCATGATAGAAACGGGGTCCTTTAAGGAAAAGGTTAAGAACCACTGCTCAAATTCTTGACTCGTTTTTTATCGCTACATCTATCACCATAAACCTTGTTCCCCTTGTCCCTTAAGTTATCCTGTATTGTGAAATACACACAGCTGGTTGCTCTTGGTTTGTTGCTACACCATGTTGTCATGATTGTCGAAGTCCAGTTGTCAGTGTAAATAAAAACAGACAGACCCAGGTGGTCGGAGAAGAGAGCCAGGCGTAGAGCCTTCACAGAGCAGTTGACCACCACCTGCTGGTTACACAAACTGCAGGCTTTGGACCAGGACTTAAAGCCTTACAATCCAAGCCCTGTGCAAAGAGTAGCAGAAAAACCCTTGATACGTCAAAGATTATAATGGACTATTTTATAAAGTAATCACTTTTTTTAAGGTTTCATTATATTTATGTAAGAAATATTTAACTGTGCTTTCCTGGGACAAAAAAGAGACTTATTTTTATCAACCCACTCTCTCCCCACTGTCTCACCAGAGCTGCTGGAACTGCGGGAGGAAAGCCAGTGAGACGTGCAGCGGCTGCAACACGGCTCGCTACTGCGGCTCCTTCTGCCAACACAAAGACTGGGAGAAGCACCACCATGTCTGTGGTCAAGGCCTGCAAGGGATGCCAGGGAGCACCCCCTCCTCCTCCACAGTGTCCTCCAGTGCGCCTCCCACCCACTCGGAGAGCACCCCTCCAGGAGCCTTGTCCTTGACAGGCCAGAGTAGTATTGTGGGAGGGGCTGTCAGCGGCAGTGGAAGTATGTCTGCGAGTCCCAAGGAGAGCAGCTCCAGCAGTGCCTCTCGCTCCACAACTCCAGCCACCCCCGCCCTGCTGGATGCCACTTCTCGCTGACGTCTGACGCTTGTCCCCTCCCTGAATACTGATGCGACTGTGCTCACACTCCACACAAAACCAAACTGAGGAATCTTCATCGCACACTGCTCCCTTTCCTCTCCCCCGACTACTTATTTCCCTGTTACTCTAAGCTCTTCTGGGAATCTTCTCACTACCTGATGATAGACTTTAACCGTTCATCTTTACCCAAAAAATAATTGTTCTGTCTTCGTTCTTTCACAACTACAGCCACAAATACAAAGATTCCAGCCTGGCGTTCAGTGTAGTGAAAAGCACGAAAAGTGTCTCCTATCTGAGTTCAGTCACAGACTCATATCGGATGTGTTTGATGAAAATTTGACTTGAAGATGTGCCCTAAGTTATTGAACACGTTGAACCTGTCTACACAAGACAAGTGCTTTAGTAAGGCAATATTAATAGGGGGATGGCTAGGCTGATTAGCACTTGGATTGGATTTCCCTTTAATTTAGCACCAATGAGAGATCAGTAGTCAGCCCTGAGATGTGTACTACCAGTGCAAACAGCTCGCTGATGTGGCACTTATTCTAAAGTGAATATCTTTTTTTAAAGAGACGAGGGAAGGGAAAAACCGTGATGCGACTTATTCCTCAAAAACTCAGCTTAGTATTTATTCAAATGTTTCTTTCTGGCTTTAAGGTAAAACAAAGAAAAGTCCAAATATTCTAAATGAAGAATAGTAGTGATGGTGATGCTGATGTTGACGATAATAATGATATGAAAATAAATTTAAACTGCTAACTACCTTGCTAGCGAGCCAAGAAAAATCTACACCGGACTCACCTCTCTATACCATTGTGAACCCAAATGAATTCAAAGATGAAAAATAACATGATCCAAACCTTTGTATTACACTGCCAAAGTGAGTAAGTAAGCGATAAGGAGAAGCACTCATCTTATAACCAAACGCAAAGCAACATCACCTCCTCAGCAGATAAGTCAGCCCTGAGAGGACCAGGCTGCAGAGGAGCTGCAGAATGGGAGATATTCAGACATTTAAAAATACAAACTGTGACCTGCTTTGATCTGCAGCTGCCTCCTGCAGTCTGGACAAAACTATAACAATCCCTCAGTGACGGCCCAGACTCGTGAAAATGGACAATGCTGTGAACTTGCCTACAAGAAAGACTTAATTCAATGGATGGAAACCCTGCCACAGTGTGGTTTTTTGAATGGTAATTAAGAGGACAAAAAGAAAAAAAGAGGGAAGTAAAAGCTACACAGCCTCAAAGAAGGTGACCATACAAACACGGCGTAGGAGCTGCCAAAAACCTCAAAACAAGCTTGAAAACATTGTTTGTGAGTCATTTTCTAAAGCTCTACAACGAGGAGATATTTCAAGGAATTGCTGTTACCTTTACATTCACTCCCTCCTTTTCCAAAGCATGATAAACTGATGACAGAGCCTAGTGAAGGGCGTGTAGACTTGGTTCTCCTCTCTCTTTCTACCTCCCCTCACCCAACACCTCCCTTCTACGCTCTTCCCCGACTTCTGACTGGCCCTATCCCTGGCCTGCTCCGGACAGAGCCTCTGAGCAGTCACGTGGGAAGGGTTCGAACCTGCTTGTAGATATTGTTCCTCTTTTCAAATTTCAATAATGTCTCTTGTCGCTGATGTCCACATGTGCTGCCCTTGTGTATATCCAGAAATACAGACTTTGTTTTGGTTTTGTTACTTTTCATTTTCCTCCTTTACGTTCGGACGGAGCAGTGAAGTCAGAGCAAGGAGGACTGTTGCTAATGAGAGGAAGCCCCACATTGTACTTATTGTTTGATTTGTTGTATCTATATTATTGAGATGAAACCCCTCTTGTAGAATATTTTGTATTGCTCGCATTGTAAGACAGTGAGAGGACAGAGGTGCAATATGAAGAGAATTCAGCTACTGAATGGAACCTCAGCAACTGCCCATAGGGTGTCATATAATATAGATACATATAAATATATTTAAAGTAACATCGGTAACTTAATGTGAATGTACATAGTATTTAAAGAGGTCCAAAAATGTGTTTGCCAAATAACAGAAACCTTTAAAGTTTAATGTCCAGAATATGATTTTCTCACAGTACATTTATTTCTAAACATTTCTCAAATGTCCTTTTCTTTCTCTCATACTATTTTAACCCTTTCAACTTTCACTCAAATCAAAGTGTCCCTGAGTGGAGGAAACTGTTGGTAACAGGGGTAAAGTGTCATAATGCAGCTGAAAATGGATGAAAACAGATTTAAGGGTGAATGGACACTACAAAACTTCCAGAACATATTTTGTATTAGTTTATTAGGCCTTAATTTACAATATTTGAGAAATACAAATCATACTGCACCACAAAAAACCTTTGACAAAATTAATAAAATGTATTTGACTTTAATCTGATTATTTTATGCAATGGTAAAATAATCCATGCTTCATTCACCCCAGGTCAGTTTTCATCCTGCAGGAGGGGCCTCAACAGTGTATCGATAAAAAAAAGCCCAACTATATTTAATAGTTACAAAAAAAAGGAAGGAAATAGTGGTGGTTCAGTTTCAAATTTGGATAATTCAAAAATAATCAGGAATTGTAATACTTATATATTCTATTATGTCATGTGTTCTCTTCCTGCCACTGACCCTCTATTTCTTTTAGTCCTCATCATCATATTGTGGTGTGTGTGTGTGTGTGTGTGTGTGTGTGTGTGTGTGTGTGTGTGTGTGTGTGTGTGTGTGTGTGTGTGTGTGTGTGTGGTGTGTGTGTGTGTGTGTGTGTGTGTGTGTTGTGTGTGTGTGTGTGTGTGTGTGTGTGTGTGTGTGTGTGTGTGTGTGTGTGTGTGTGTGCGCGTGCGTGCTTAGGAGTATTTGTTTCACCCAAGGTGCAGGATAAGCCATTACATAATATGCCAGTATTAAGCTACAGTAAACCTCTAAGCTAATTTTGATACCTGATCTTTTTTTTCAATTTTAACCGATTATTGTTTATTTCAACAAAAAAAATCTCCAACCTTTTTCCATATATTTCCACATTCTCAAGGAATGTGATCACCTCTGTTTAACACAATTATGTAAAGCCCCAGACCTTTACTTACAGTAAAGCAATAGACGGCATGCAGCAGCCTTTGTCAAACAAATGTAAGATTGATAATCGTAAACTCCCAAAAGTTGGCTTCATTTACAGTTGGACCACAGACCTTTGTTGTAGCAGTGACTGGCATAGGAAAATTGTTCATCAACATCTCTACTAAGTTAATCATTTTATTTGGACTATCTGCGATACATAATTCAAACTGCAAGGTACCCCTGCATCTGTGTGTAGCATTTATGTATGTGTGTTATAATTACTTGGATATGTTGTTGGCCTCAGCCTTCTTGTGTCATTTTCTCCTTATCCCCAATGTCTATTTCCTCCACTTCTACCCCGCACCCTCTTTGTAACACCCCTTCACACTAGCTACCTCCTGTGACCATACAGCTAACCACCAGGAGAGGTTGACCTGGACTTTGAAAAGCTTGGCTGAGAGCAGACGTGGAAATGCACATTCAAAGCAATCATATATATCTGTCTAAACATTTTAAAATCAAAAAAAGTGTTGAAAGGAATTGCCATTACTCATGATGTGGAGGAATATGTATTCCCACCAGACCTCAGCTGCCTGTTTGATCACCTTCCACCAACTGAACTGCTGGGATTTAGTAATAGGTACACATACAGTCAAACATGCATATTACCAAACTGAACACTCAACCATTGACATGCCATTTGTTGTCCAAAACCAATAAAAGCACAGACCAAAGTACTCTATTGCCATAATAGGCTTTGACACAGTGTGTATTAACAGACCAGAAATAATAAGGTTAGAGCTCCACTACACCAGGTAACCAAAGTGTCTGAAATACACACAATCAGGGCACAAGAGTGAAGAGCATGCTTAATGAACCGGCTGACTTTCAAATGTGTAGAGTTATTTTTCAAGCAATCAAAGCGCTTGTTGTCTACATATTGACTAGTGCTTCTATAAAAGATAATAGAAGCTTCTCCTTAAGAAAAGCCTACTGATTGCGTGTTCTTACAGTTACAAAGCCTTGCAGAGATAAAATGAATGCATGGTGGGTGTGTGTTTGTGTGTGACTGGTGGTGTGTGTGTGTGCGTGTGTTTTTGTAAAAAAAGGAAAAACATTTGCTTCTTGTCTCTGTACAAACTACTTGAAACTTTCAGAGCTTTAATGAAACATCCCAGACAGACTATGGTGGCATATCTATTCACAATATATAGCAACAGCTTTGTGCAGTACAATACTGTGTTTGCGTACAATATTCAAACAACATTTAATGGCAGTTCCATTCAACTCCTCAATGCTTTTGATTGTGCATCCTTGTCTGCAAGTAAGCCCTTAGAAAAACTAAACAAAACCAAACATAGTAACCACTTATAAATGACCAAAATACAACCAAAATATACAACTTTTCTTTTAGATTTCATGTTGGTTAAGGGATTTGTGTTATTGTCCCGGCATTAGAACTTCAACACGGTTGATTGTGTGGGTGTCCTTCACTGAGATTATCCCTCCTGATTTAATTGAAAAGGAAACAAAAGATCAATGTTCTGTTCAGCTGGGTGCTAGCTTCCTTAATTTAAGAAACAAACGAGATGTGTTATATTCTTTTCTCTGTACAGATAATACAGATGGCAAATGCATAAGGGCTCTGCTTTTGTGAATATTATCCAAGGGTCTCCGAACACTTTACACCACCCACTTTTCTGTTACTATGTACATGATATGGGCAAAACGCATGTTTAGAAAAGGCAAAGAATGGCAGGTTGGCATTTGTATCTACTTACCCCAACCAATAACTCTACCAATGAAGTTTCAAGACTCATCTGATGACACATCCTTCCTGTGAAACAGGCACTGATGAAGAAAGCTAAAGTGGCAAACAGTGGGTACAGCACTTGTTTTCCCTAAAGCTATGGCTCAGGATGGCCCTGTTTATACCTTTACATAAATGGAAACAAAGGTTTATGTTTTGTTATGTGTAGGGAGGCATTCTATACTGTATTGTGCAATACATTATTACAGAAAAAGCATTGTTCTGTTGGAGAGGTTGGCGCCTTGAAGATCTTTCTCCTTTTGTTTTATTTCCCTCTTCAATAAGGTAATGTTACCGTTTTTAGATGAAGTTAACTGTGCCAGAAGAATTCAATTCTGATTTGTATTTATTTCTTGCATGCTTTCCTCCCTGTTGCTAATACCGCTCTTTAACTGTTCGCTCTGTTGGATGTGTGAAGCTGTAAAACATTCTAATTCAGGTTATTGTCTGTGTTGAACAATGTAACTGTGTAATTAAAACATGAAATGAAGTATTCATCACTCTTATTGCTTTTCTTCTTTAAAGGGGCTTTCTAAATCTGGCAAAGCTAACATGATATGGCTGCCGGATTTGGCAATTATCCATTGTTATTAGTAAATCATTACTTGCACAATATGTAAACTTCAGTCATATTATTTCCACACCTTATGTCTACAGCAGGGGCGCCCACACTTTTTCAGCTTGGGAGCTACTTTTAAAATGACCGCCCCTGCCCAAAGTCAGATGGCTTCAGATGAGGAGGTGAGGCCCCCTCCGCGAGGTGAGGGCCCACGCAGTCTGCGTGATCCGCATGTAGGGAGGGTCTGTCTACATTAAGAATGCTAAACATATATTTATTTATATATACTGAGTATACCTTATGTTGGTGTACCTTGCATAACTGCATGAACCCGTATGGCACAATATAACTCAGTACATTTTTGGTCATTACGTCAATTTTATACCCTTTCTTTAGTATAATTGTATAAATTGGAAGGCTAACTACTAGGTAATCAGCTCACCGGTGATTTGCAGCTGGCGCGGTTGACCGCGGTGAACTGCGTGTTAGAAAATATGAGATCTCAGACTGGCTTACCTGTGCGTCAATCAAGTGCCAAATTCCATAGTAAGGATGGATTATAGGCTAACTTTTTTTGCGATCTACCCACACTACCTTCGACGTATTGGGCACCCCTGGTCTACAGAAATGTGAAAGCATAAAATATTAATAATAAAATTAAAAAAAGATATAACTATAAAATATATTTTGCCAAATATATTCTACACACTCACATAAACTCATATCAAATCAAAAACCAGCTCCACTCAACTATTTACAATTTAAAAACATATATTTATATACACAGTGTATATCTCAAACGAGTGCAACCATCTTCTATTCAGTCACAGTTTAATTTGATCTAATTAAATCTGTTGACTATAGACAGGTTATGTTACCAGCACAATGAGACATTAATTAGAGTCTTAAACTTAGCTCAAAGTTGTAGGTTGTTATTTTATATTCTGATATTCCAAAGTTACCAGTGATACCAAATATGTCAGACTGAAATTATTGAAATATTTACATTTAACAGAATGGTGCAGTCATAAAACTCTTGTTAGTTATGATCATGAATTGTGAAAAATCTAGCCAGAAATGGAAGGGTTCACTGTGACTCTTATAAATTACTAAGGGGAAATAAAAGTGGGAAAATTGATGGATAAATAAACCGTGCAAAGTGTTAAAGCTGCCTAAACTCTTTCTATTTACTCTGGTTTCTAAAAAAAATGGTATTCTTGATTTAAAATCCTGCAATTACTCCTTATTTTGTTGTTTATATAGATATCTTTATATTTTCATTAAAATAAACATAGTTTTAGAGTGGTTCTACTTTTACACATTGTGGTTTTCTAATGTTTTAATGTGAGCGTAGGTTTTTAAATGCACTGACCAAGAAAATATATTCCTCACTGAAACTACTTTAATATAGTAGGCTACATTACATTACATGTTACTTATTAGACACTTTTATCCAAAGCGATTTACATACTCCTGAGGGCAATCCCCACAGGAGCAATTTGGGGTGAAGTGTCTTCCCCAGGGACACAATGTTTGAACCAACACCAAGGCTCTATCCACTGCGCCACACGCCTAAAAGCATAGGTTTAAATAAATAATGGCTGAATATCATTTGGCTGCTTCAGTTTTAAGGTCCAAGGTACCATGCATGCTGGCTCACTGTCACACGGTCGAGGCTTAGCCTACTGGGAGACTGGAACATAACTGAGCCATAGTTAATGTTATTAGTAACACCTGTACCTCTCCTGAAATACCAGTCAAAAATGTCTGCTGTGAAAACAAGCCTGTTATCCACCCCTTTAAATACCATACATAAAACATTAACACTTGACAGTTTTGCAGCATTCCTAAGGAGTGAGTAGAAGTGAGTTTAAATGCCCATGTGACACGCATGGAAAACACACTTTTTGTGACAATTAAATGTAAAAAGTCTGTTTTACATTGAAGCATATTACTATTTACTGTAGCCTACATAAATGTAGATCAAAACATTATTACATTAGGCTGGTTGTTTTAACTAGCTTTAAATCATGGGGTTGAGATGGGGAGAAGTGAGGGTGCTAGGGCAGAGAAGGGGAGGGCTCCTTGATGATGCGCCAATGGGAGGAAGTATCCTCATCCAGCGTCCCTCTCACGTGTGCGCCAGTGTCAATCAATCCAGCGCGTCATGAGTCTCATTCACAGGTGATATCTATTAGCTTATCTCCTATATGCTGTCAGCTGTCGCTTCCTGCGGTCTATCAAACCTTTTCCTTCCTGTGGTGGGAGAAATTGTAGGTGGAGGGTTTGGCAAGCTGCAGTCCGCTTTGCAGATGCCATGGTTGAGCAGTGAGCATGGCGGAAAATCATCTGGAGTACGGCTACCTGGAGGGCGAGTCCATCGTGGAGCATTTCGCCGACGACGCGGTGGGTATCATCGTTTTAAACTGAATGAAAAGGCTGCCGTCCCGTTTGTTTGCACCCACGTAACCTATAGTACGGCGAACAGATGAGAGCTGTGGTGTTGGACAAGCAAGTGCAAACATAAGCTATGCTATGTGTTTCGTTTTATGACTGATAAACGGTATGTGCATAAAGACCGACATCATTGAATCACATCCAGTATAACATGCTGAGTGAGTTTTCGGCTTGGAGCCAATCAGGTGCACTGCATGTCCTGGGTGAGGTGTTGAACACAGGGTGGCTCAGTCACTGAAATAAGTGATGGTAAAACCCCGTTCTACCTGTCCTGAAACCCCAGGCCAGCTACATGTTGTACTATGACTTGAACTGATTAAATTAGTATATGTTTTCATTAAATTAGTACATTTGGTGCTTCAGGAGATCTTAATGCTACATTCACAATTGTGTAAAGTAAAAGATGTCCATCCCCTAGTCATTTTATTTAACTGAATTTCCCCCTCGGGGGATCAACAAAGGGCTATCTTCTTCTTCTTCTTTATGATAGCAAACCAATACTTTCAGGATGTTCCATTGTCTCTTTTTATATCACATACCCAGATTGGTTTAAAAAAAGTCTGCAGTAGCCTACATCAATACGTTGGGACACCAGAAAACCTTTACATTTTCTTTTTGAATCAACACAATGTATCAAAATCAAGATGGCCTGATGCAATATGGGCTACTCATGTAGTGTTGGTGATCCCCAAATCTTCTATAGGTGTTATTGTGCTGAGATCTGGCAACTCTGAAGGCCACAGCATATAATTCCCATTAATTCTTAAATCATCCAGTGACCTTGTTGAAGCATCTTTATCCAATAAGATTCTGTACTAAATTATTCAGGTTTCAAGGTTATCACGTATTCCTTTTATTTTTTCCAGTCAGATTTGTGTATGTTTTTTTTTCTTCTGTTTGTCAACACTGTATGACTTCATGCTCTGATTTTGTGCTTGTGTTTCTCAGGAGCTAGCGGCCATCAAAGCCAGAGTTCATGAGATGGAGATGGAAGAAGAGTCGGATAGACTGGAGGAGGAGAGGTGTGATGCAATTGACATGCACCTCCTAACCAGTAGCCCTCGGCCTGGTGAGACAGCCCGTGCGTTTCATTCACCTCCTGGTTTGTTACTGTGTCACTTTGTGTACAGTAAGTTACTTGTAATGCATTTGGGTACCCTCAACAGCTTATTTTTAGCAAGGTGTGTGTGTGTGTAGCATCGCAGCCTCCAGGCAGGTGAGGTAGCTGCATCCTTCACCATCTGGCTAACACCTGGGACACTTATCTCTTCTCTGTTCACATGTGCCTCATCACTGCCCAATGAGACGAAGTAGTGAGCTCCAGAGGACCAGAAGGGGTCCTCCTTGCTGCCTGCGGCTATTTTTTGCCTGTGTGCGTGTCCTCACCCACTTTCTCCCTTTTGGTTCCTCCTCAGACCAGAGATGCCATCAGAGGGGAGCTAGATTCGGACATATACTATCTAAGATGGCGCAAGCGATGGATATAATGACGGAATTATCATTGTGTTCATGGCACTTGGAGTGACCCCCCCCTATGTAGGCAGTATTTTCCCTATGCTGCAAACATAACAGCAGTGGTTACAGTTTTTGTTTCCTTCACAGGACCATTCTACAACATGACTCCAGAGGAGAGGATGGACGCAGACAACAGATCAGTCTATGTCGGAAATGTAAGATGTATATGTATTTCTTTTATATGAGAAGGTTTTTCGCACCTTTGATCTGACAATACCGTTTAATTGTAACAGGTTGACTATGGAGCTACTGCAGATGAGCTGGAGATCCATTTCAATGGCTGTGGTCCCGTCAACCGAGTGACCATCCTGTGTGACAGGTTCTCAGGCCATCCAAAGGGGTGGGTAACACTCCTGCTTACAGTTAATACTTTTTTTTTATACCTGACACTGTTTGACCATAAAATACTAATTTTAAGCGTGTTGGCATTAAAGTTTATTCTTTTTCTGCCTTTTTTCTTCCCCTTACACAGTTTTGCTTACATCGAGTTCTCTGATCCAGATTCTGTTCACAGTGCTGTTGGTTTGCATGAGACCTTGTTCAGAGGAAGGGTCCTTAAGGTGAGGAGCATTAAACTGCACGGTAGTCTGTATGAACATCTCAGACCAGTTAGTTACTCATTGTCAGTCACATCTAAATGATGCACACACAGAACTCTTAGTACGACTAACACTGGATTTTAGCATAGCTTGGTGGTGGAAAAGGTGCTTGGATAGGGTTTTCTTATTGTTAGTATCTATACAGTGATATTATTCCTATCACAAGTACAAGTTCGCATTCAACATCTTGAGTTAAAGTGCATAAGTATCAGCATGAAAATAAACCTTAATTATTTGGTAAACAGAATGACTAAAATAAATAAATAATCGTTTAGATCATCATTCATGATTATTTAAAATTGTATTCATATAAATCTAAAGTAACAAGTTGTCAATATTTATCTTTTGAAATGTATTGGCATTGAATAGTCTTAGTGCGTTTTAGTTAAATATTCAAGTAAAATGAGAACCTCAAAATTGTACACCAATTAAATGTACTTAGTTACTTTCCAGTAGTGGGATATATAAATTATCCTGATCCCTCCTTAATTGATTTTAAAAGTCAATTTGGGGCTGCTGTATAGCTCAGTTGGTAGAGCTGGAGGTCCCCAAGCGAAGGACCTGGTTTCCATTCTGGCACGGTAAGGTTTGCCACATGTCATCCCTCTGTCTAAAAACAAAAAAAGGCACTGGTTGCCCATTTAATAATTAAAATAAAAACTCCTCCAAAAAAGACCATTTGGTCATGTGTACTTCAGAAACTGTAATATCGCTCCGTTTGGTAGATATAGAAACAACCGCAAGAGTTAATGTTATTTGGGTTTGACTCAATTGTAACTATTAGGACATTAAGGTTTAGCTATTCATCAAACCATCCTAAACATTACTGTAAAAGTCTTCCTTGACTTGCAGGTAATGCCCAAGAGGACCAACATGCCAGGCATCAGCACCACGGACAGGGGAGGACACAGAGGTGGCCACACCAGAGGCAGGGGCCGTGGTTTTCGTCCGCCCCGATACCAGAACAACACTCGCGGTAGGTTCCGGTACCAGTCGACCAGGCCACAACACCAAACCCCCCACCCTTACTACGGAGCGCCTCCAGTGGGGAAGAGACAGTGGGGACACATGGACTACCACGAACAGATGCCTAAACGTTACCCGTGTCTTCTCCTCATCACCCCCCCATCAGAGGAAATGGGGCCAGGTTCAAGTGGTCCGCACTACCCTCAACAGCGCTAGCACTAACTACAAAATGCATAATAAAATTGGGTGAAAATTACTAATTATTTTAAAGAAATGTTTACAGGCATTACTGAGTTGAGTATTATGTGAGAGCCAGAATGGAGAAAGAGATGACTTTCTAAGTTGCATCAGTGATTCAGGACGTGAAGAGAAGAAGACTGAGTCCAGAGGTGTTGCATTATTAGCTTATGTTGATGTGGATGCATGGGACAATCCTCAAATAGTTATGCAGTTGCATCTCTTACTGTTTTTACAAATTGGTTGAGAATATTTTGTGTTGCTGCCTGCAATGTATTGTATAAAGTCTCCCTATGTATAACTTAATTTATTTGCTATGTTAGAAAATAAATAAAACAATGATCTGTGATCCATTTGTAGTAAAAAGTGACACGCGCACGGCATGATAATCAACAAATGTAGTTTATTATGCATTTAAATAATCAAGGCAACATGTTAACAATAGTTGGGATTAGGGGTGTTCTGTACAGTGGAGGTTCGGGGGAAGAAGTGTCAGCCAGCTTGCACCATCATTCCAGATACAATGCCATCGAAAGCCCTGAAGAAGGATTGATCAACAATTAAACAATGCTAGATTTGGATGATATAAGTGACAACATTTCTTGAAAATCTAGTCGAGCCTTAACTCACTTGGACTGAATGGTGTCCCCTGGAGTGTGGAATGGGTTGCACATTACATCAGTGAAAGAGTTGTGTAGTTTTCTGAACATCTGGAAAAGAACAAGTAATTAATTAGTAAACAACCCACACACCTTGTAAAGTTTCATCATACATGTGTGCATGTCCATCTTAAAGTCAGGTATATTGATAATTATTTGTATAAAAATGTGTGTGATAAGGATTCTGCACAAGGGACAGACTAACAACTTGCCCAGATAACTGCACTGAGAAAATATAGAGGAGCTCTTTGGCCTTACTCTCTTCCAGTTTTAAATACATTGTAAGCTGAGGCATCAGGCAACACAGTCTGGGTGTTTCTCAATAGAGGTTTCTCAATACTCGAATCTCCTTTCCTCGACTCCTATCCTCGATACTTAGTCCCGCCCACAGGAGATGCGAGCGGGGAACCGAGGAGAGAGGAGACAGCAGGCGGTTAGAAAAATGAGAACTCCTCTCTGAGCGGTCATTTTAAAGAGACGTCCATCAATGATGACAGGAGGCACAGCAGCCCTCTGTCTGATGGACAGCTGTGTTCATGACGACTTATATATTTACTTTTAATTAATTGACAGTGCGGTATAATGAGACAATAACAGATGCGGAAATATACACACACACATATTTATATAAATATATACAATTTCAGAATCAAACACGTTATTATGAGAGTGCTCTCATACTTAACACAATCAGACTGGATATATATATATATATTCCCCCCCCCCCCTCTCTCTCTCTGGTCGCTGAAATGGGGAATTGAAATTACGGGCCAAAAGTTGTATTTACAAGTATTACAAGTAAGCAGAGGACACCAAACCAACTGAGACCCGTCTGTCCACCACATCTACACACTGTACAACACACACACACACAACTACACACTGTACCACACACACCTACAGCTCCTAAAGCATAATCAGGCTACAGCCGTTGTGTATTTTATTATGTGAAGCACTAAATGGTCTTAGAAAAATATCGACTCTTTGTTTGTAGATATCCACTAAACTACAGCATACAAATACAGAGAGTAATGTAGGCCTGTTACACTGAGTGATATATATTTTACACACTGCTCTGCTTTCTGCACGGACCTCACAGCTGTTCTCACTGTAAACATCGCGTAGCGATGAAAGCAGTTTCTAAAATAATATCCAGGGGATGCATGCAGCGCTGTCATTGGCTGAGATAAGTCCGGCCGTGCGTAACACTTCCACCGTTCCCGGAAATGCATCCACGGAGGAGCCGTGGAGGACCCATCAGTGTCTCCTCGGTTAGAGCTCCTCCAGAGAGCCTCCTCAATGCTCGGTCCTCGATGTGCATTTAGAGAAATGAGATGTCCTTCAACATGGCGCGCTGAAATTCATTTCCGGGTCACAACCGGAGGACCGAGGAGTCGAGGAGGGGAAATTAGAGTATTGAGAAACCTCTAATGTCGGTGAAGGCTCCTCCAGAGCCACTATTTCAAGGATGCTACGTCATCGAGTCCCGCCGAAGGACTGTTCCAATGTCCAGGATCCTTGGAATTCTACCGAGGCCGGCGTCTTTCGTTGCAGGAAATTTCGAGGCTGCACATGTGTATCCTCCACGGTCTTAAAATCCCCACAATGCTTTGCACACGGACCAATTTCCAAAATCTTTGGCGGAAATCGCGCTCCATTTAAGGCGGGGCCTCGCATATGACGCACACTTGCACACCCGTTAGCCTGTTGCACCATTCTTCGTTTTCCGAGGCTAGGAAGGATTCTTGCCTAGCTTCTGAAGGACCTGACTCGGAAGACATGTCCTACCAAGGAAGTGCCTCGACATTGAGAAACACCCACAAATTCAGCATTTGCAATATAAAACTAGCTCAACATACTGACTCAAGTGTATACTAAACTAAAACATTGCTTGTAATGTAGCTTTTGGAGAATTATGATTGTTATGCACTTTTCTAAGACATGCAGGGGTTCAACTTACACTTCGGATTTCATTGTCCCGTAATGATGTATTTGAGGAGTCCACAACGATAACAAATTTCACCTTGGAGTTTGTTACATACCCATATCTAGTTCACCAGTCAAGGATATTCGTTTTTCCTGTTGGAGTATATTTACAGAGTTCATTAAAACCCCATTTTTTACAGCACATATTTCAATAATCATACACTTAACCATGCAAAAAACATTTTACAAGTTAAATGCGATAGCTAAAGGAGTAAGGTATCTTTGATTAGTAGAGATGTGTACATGTGTTTAGGGGTTGACAATTTTGTTTAAAGGGTATTTACTATTTATCCTTGGACCACAGTCTCTAGATTGATGATCTAATAAATAGAAAAGTCAGGTGCTGGGAGTACATGTCCCTTAACCTGTGGAGACACAAGGATACACTTTGTAGTCTTCAGTGGGATAGAGCAGACCCAGGTACAGCTCTCTCTGGTCTCCTAAAGATTTGCCCACAGCCGAGATCTTCTCTTCCACCACATCCAGGGAGGTGTGCACGGTGTAGTGAAACTTCAGCTCATTTTGGGTGGGCACACTGCGGATATACAGCGGGTAGTTCTGGGAGAGGACAATAAAGAGTACAGTCACATAATAAGCTTCCATTTAAAAACTCAACCATGTCGACGTAGATGCAGCAAATTATACACCAAAAGAATAATGCTAATGTTGTTAGCTCTGTTGGTGTCTTTCAACACCTTCAGACCTTCTGGTTTACACAGAGAGCTGACATTTGCTTCGAGACAATGATAAGTAGAAAATGGAAAACATCTTAGCATTAAAAAGCAGAATACAAATAGAACCTGGAACATTTAACAAAAGCAATCATTACCTCTTTTGCGATGACTGATATGCACACCGCCATGTTAGCTTTCCTTCTCTGATCTGTCAGGCACTATCACGTGATACGCTGCATTCAGAAGCTGGTGGAAAAGTGGAAATACGATTTGACTTGCCTATGTGGTTTCTTATATTTTATATCATATAATACATTTTAACCATGATATGCAAAACATGTTTTTTATTTACGTATTTCATTGTATTTATAAATATATTTGTTACATGATTCATTATTCATTTCGACCGATATCTAATCCCATCGCGCACGTACATTTACCAGAAGGTCCTGAATGCATCACATGACATATATATTTTGTAGTTTTGCTATTAAATCCTTATACCCAAGTCCACCATTCGCGTTAACAAATTAAGGACATAATGGCCAATAAAGCTTAAAGCAATCTCAAACTTAAATGCAAAAACACAAAATAATTGCTGTGTGTGTATGCGCAAGCGTTGCGCTGAAGTTGCCGCACGAAGACAAACAAAGCACTTCCTAGAAGTTGCTGCCATGGATGTATAATGTTGCTGCTCATATGACTGCAGCTATGCGAGTGATGTCTTCTCTAACTCTTACTCTCTTTTTTTCAATAATATGTTGTTCCTTGACAGAAAAGCTTTCAAATGCATCATCTCCAAACATAATCATCATGCTCATGGATGACGTAAGTTATGTCTTGTGTTTTTAATGTGTTATTGTAACTTTAGTTCATCACATCAGCAGCATTACAGATCTGCTTGAGCAGTGAATGAGTGTCTGAATCATATTTCTCTCTCCCTCTTTCTTACAAGTCATTTGTTTTCTCTCTTTCTCTTTCTTTTTTCGGTAAAGGTATTTGTTTTCCTTCTGTCTCTAGGCTTTCAGAACTAGTAGCAGTTGTCCATGTACTGTATAGCCTGCATCTCATTGATCCTTGCTGCCTGTGAACAGTATATGTGTGCTTTAATGTATGCTTTCTTTTTCTGAAAGGGATACACTAAGTTCGTAGTCCTTTTACATAAGTAAAAGTAGCAATACCAGTACAGAAACTCTGTACAAGTAAGAGTCCGGCATTTAACTTCTTACAACATTGTTAGCATTAAAATATAAGTAGCAAAAATAATCCTGACAATATAATGTACTTGAGTTAAATCCTTTAGTAAATGTACTTCATAACATTCCACCACTGCTTTATGTGTATCTGTATATGTGTCAATAAACTTCCCTCTGCACTTCAGATGGGTTGGGGGGACTTGGGGGTGTTGGGCCAGCCCTCTAAAGAGACCCCCTACCTGGATGCCATGGCTGCTCAGGGCATGCTGTTTCCAAATTTCTACACTGCCAACCCGCTCTGTTCCCCATGTGAGTCAGCAGCTCTATGTTGTAATATAGAAGCTAACAGGATGTTAGAACAATGCCAGTCATAATCACTACTTCCTTCTATCTCTACTTGTTTTTATTGTCACATTATCAAAATGTAAATCAAAATAGCACCTGATATATGAAAGAACCTCAAAAAAAATAAGCTTGCACCTCATCTCATTTAAATACAACATACAGAACAAAGTACACTACTTACAGTTATTACATTAACTATTGTTAAAAAGGGAGTTTGTATTTTGTACAAAAAAGGTTAATAAAAAAGTACAGATAATGTATTACAAATGCCAGTTTGACAAGCTGTAAAGGTGATTTGCATTTTTTTTTTATTGAATTGTGTTCATTGGGGTTGCACTTGACAGCAGTGATCATTGATTACAATTTAAGATTTGAATAGCAGTTGATAAACTAATGGGTATTGGTATTTGAGTTGTTACAAAAAACACAATTTCAAAAGCTTAACGTATCAACAAACTATTCAGATGCATGCCAGAGCATTATGAAAATAAGGGGGAAAAAGCATTTGGATCATCATAATGACCTTTTTTCCCATAATTTCTACAACAGCCAGGGCTGCTCTTCTCACCGGGAGGCTGCCTGTCAGAAACGGTTTCTACACCACAAACGGCCACGCCAGAAACGGTACACTTGCAGTACATCCAAACTGTGTAAATTATCCAGCTGCAAATGATTTCCTGCAGGTTTTCTCATTACTATAATGTACAGTGTGCAATTAAGTCACGGAAAGTTTTGTACACTAAACTTTGACCTTTTTTATAGCATACACACCACAGGAGATAGTGGGAGGAATCTCCAAGGACGAGATTTTGTTACCCCAGATAATGAAGAAAAAGGGCTATGTCAGCAAGATTGTTGGCAAGTGGTGAGCTCTTTATCTTTTGTATTCCAGGTTTTTAGAGGCTACTGAACTTTTAGAGGTCGCAGTATGTTGATGACCATCCTTGATGGTGCCATGGAATAAATGCCTCGCATTACAGGATCGAGGCTTAATGCCATATTGCATATTTTGGCAATTTAATCACAAATCATGTATACTTAAAGCTGGGCAGGCAGCTTTGGAAAAGCCAGCAAAATTAAGCTACATTTTTTAAAGTATCCAACCGTTTGTTTATATTTATTGATTGCTGTCATCTGGAAAGAGAATTTGAAAAAATATAACAAAATATTATTCCAAAATAACTTTCCTACTCTAGCTTTAACATTACTGATGAACATTATTTCCACATTCTTTAATCATTTAGTTTTTATTTCCACTACATTTCTTTGCAGTAATGCAACCAGGCATGCTTACTTATCCTCACAATGTTACTATACCAATCACACAGCTTTGCAGACCTGTCTTAAAGTTTCAAACCTCTGCAAAAGGTTTAAAAGGTCTGCATTTAGGTCCTAAATTGAAGTGAATAGAAACCAATCAGAGCCATAATATAGTCATTTGCGGAAAAAACATGAATTTAAGTATGTTGCGCTTTCGAAAAAAAGATTTGTAGTAGCAAAGGTACAATTGCTTTGTAGTAGAAGTCCACATTTAAACATGCAGAATGGTCCTTCAGTCTCATTGATCTTACAGTGTATGAGTTCACTTTGTTTGTCACTCAGGCATCTGGGCCACAGACCGCAGTACCTGCCCCTGAAGAATGGTTTTGATGAATGGTTTGGTGCACCAGACTGCCACTTTGGCCCTTACAACAGCAGCATCAGACCCAACATCCCCGTCTACAACAACTCTGAGATGCTTGGCAGGTAGGATAACACACAAGCACTCATATATGCATAACAGCAGACAGAAACCGAGGCTGAAAATGTTCATTCCACCTGACTCAGTGGAATAGCTTGGCTGTCTGCTTCTCTGGGTGAGTTGGGTGTCTCCCCTCCTCTTCTTTCTCTGTACCAGCTGTGCTTGTGTATTCCATTTTCCGCCCATTTGTTTTCCCCAAAACAGCCATATGTGTATTCAGGGTCATTGGAACTGGCAGCCGGGCGTGTTTTTCGCTTAGCCGTGGGTTTAATCAGCATTGCTTACCTGGGCCCTGGACAGACAAACACACACACATAGACACGCATACTCACTGAAACACACAAGCCCTCATGAGACGGCAGGTTGCGTTGGCTGTGTGCGAGGACACCTGGCGGAAGTGAAGCGTAAGAAAGAGAGATGCCTGTCACTGCCTCCCTGCTTGCTGCGCCACGCTTCAGCAACACCTCATAACAGTTCCCTCTGTTCAGATCTGCAGAGACTCCCCAGATATGTCTTTCACCAAAATCTCCTGCAAACACAGTCCGCAAGAGGGAAATTTGCTTCTGTTGTCGTAATGATATTGTCTGCGGTAGTCTAGGTAAATTTAGAGGGAGATTGAAAGCCTTGACAATACAATCAGGTTGCTATGAAAGAGTTATTTTATGCGGTTGAATGAGCAGTGGAGAAATGGCATGGTGTGGGGACAGCAGCTATTCAGATGGGATAATGGCTAAATAAATATGAAGGTTTATTTAATAAATAATAGCAACCCACTTGTTTTCCAGATACTACGAGGAGTTTAAGATTGACAGGAAGACTGGAGAGTCCAACCTCACACAGATGTACCTGCTGGTAAGTTAAGGCTCACAACACTTCAGTGGAGTATTTCAGATAAACCAAATTCTGTTTCAAAGTTTCCTCTGTAAAGTCATTATTAGAACATAATGAAAGTCACTATATATTTATGGTCTACCATAGAAGAATGGTCTTTTGTTCACCAGAACATAAAAGCACAAAAAAGTGAATCATCTATTTAACCAATTTAAAGCTCAATTAAAGCCTGATTTTGGCCTTTGATCATTGCCATGCTTTTCACCAGCAGAAGTGGATTGTTGACTTTTGCGCACTCTGTTTGATTATCCCTGCTGCCTATGTCTGTCCCTCCTATTCAGTTTATAAAGGGATCAAAAGCAGCATGCAGAGACGAGCTGCATGCTTGAGAGGTGCACTCTGTAATCACAAGAAGAAGATGGATCTGTCAAATAGAGCTTTGTAAAGCTCCTATTAGTATGCTTTTTGTGATCAACAATTTAGATTTTAGAACAGTGCGAAACAAAAACCGCAGCCCTGAAAATAGGTGGCAACTATTCCCAGGTGCAGTACCAAATAGACTAAATAAATCCATATTGTATGCCTTTTTCGAAAATAAAAGTCTCAGTAGACCTATTATTAATGTTGTTGAGGAAACAAAGGCACAACAAGTTTAGATATAGTATGTAGTATGTAGAGGAGAAAGGGGTTATTTTCTGACAGCTGTATTGTGATTCAAGTAAACCATTTGACATCTGCACTGACAGACTCTCCCACCCTCCGCCCTCTACAGGAAGGTGTTGACTTCATCCGCCGTCAGACAGAGGCCCAGCGGCCCTTCTTCCTCTACTGGGCGCCCGATGCAACTCACGCCCCTGTCTACGCCTCCAAACCCTTCCTAGGGCAAAGCCAGCGAGGCCGGTACTTTATATCCTACATTACTGACTTACTGTCCAGCAGAGGAATAAGGTTATAAACTAGAGAATGCAATTCCTGAAGAAATTGCTAGTGGGAATGCTTTATTCTGAAAAGCTGACGCTAAACTGCTATGCTGAAATGTAATGTTTAAGAAGAAAGTGAAGAATTTAGATTGAAATGATACATGAACACTGGGGGCTTGAATGTGTGATGACAGAAGAAAAGAAAGTAAAAAG